TGTCTTCTTTCTGGACGGCCCATGACAGGTTTTTAAAAAATGTCTTTGCCAATAAATTTCCTAAATTTCTAAACCATCTTCAAAACAGCAAAAAATTTTCACTTACTTATAATAATAAGTACACAATTCTTGGCTCAGCTTACTGTACTCCCAAAAATAGAGGGTTTGAGTCTTAAATTTTAGATTTAATTGCCTATATTCCACAGAGATAAATAGAAACTAGTCTTCAAAAATACGTTTATTTAATATGGCAGCAAATCTAGCAATGAAAGGTTCCCCTGATGTACAAACTAAATCCTTTAGTTAGGTGATTTATCATCCAGTATACCAGATAAAAACAAAATCTCAGTTATTCCTTAACCCTTTAATATCCAGCGTATCAGATATGCACACCTACATGATATACATATTATTATAATCCCTATGGAATATTTTAATTATTTACTGTTATAATATGAATTATCACTTATTCCCTGTTAAATAAAAATCGGTCACCGGGTGCAGCTATACAACTTCAAGGACCCTGGCCTCAAGTGCCTGGGACCTACTCTACACTTTAGGAAATGTCAATAAAAGCTCTGGAATGATTTCAATTTTAAAAAATAAACAGTAATCAAAACATCGAAAATAAGTGGTGGGGACACAGTGCGTGATTTCTGTACCAGGTTAAAAACGACTGACACAGTGTGTATTCTTTGTTTAGTGAGTTTTCTCGATAGCATGTTATAACTGCACCAAAAGTGTCTTATCAAGAACTAGCAGGCTTAATCTGACGCATAGGTGTAAATTCTAAATTTACCGTGCGATTTCTTATTCGACTGTGTGTTTTACACAGATCGGTCTTTGTAAAGGGTATGTCTTTATACATGGACTTATATGTGCCTTCTTTAATCTATGCATATTTCATTTGTTGATGAAAACTATGTGTTTTATACTGCGTACCATTGTCTGGCTACAGTTATATATATTTCTTGTCTTTTTGTGGGTTTCATTTGTTAACATTATCGTAGTACCACTGAACTATAACTATAAAAGCATGTCTCACTCAATATCATTATTGTCCCATGTCTATTGAAGAAAGCAGGGGACTATTAAGATGGGTTCGTTCGTCTGTCTGTCTGTCCGTCACACTTTTTGGGACACAATAACTCTCTTTCTTATTGAACATTGTAGCTCAATTAGAAAGGTGTAGGTGTTTATTAGGTCAATGCCTTGATGGAGTTCGAAGATGAGCATTTTCGGCTTAGGGTAAGCAAAGATAAGCAATTTGATTGGTTGATGCTTTGGGACACAATAACTTTAGTTCTAATTAAGTGAGAGGGATGAAACTTGGTGTATAGTTTCATTACATCAATACCTTGACTAAATTTGATAATGAACATTTTCTGCTCAGGGTAAGCAGAGCAATAAGCAATTTGATTGGTCGAGACTTTGGAACACAATAACTTTCATTCTAATTGAGTTAGAATGCTCACACTTGGCATAGATGTCTATTAGGTGAATGCCTTGATGGAGTTTGAAGATGAGAATTTTCGGCTAAGGGTAAGCAGAGATAAGCAATTTGATTGGTTGATATACGTACATGAAACACAATAACTTTAGTTCTAATTAAGTGAATGTGATGACACTTGGTGTATAGCTTTATTACAGCAATACCTTGACTGAGTTCGATTATGAATATTTTCTGCTTAGGGTAAGCAGAGCGATAAGCAATTTTATTGGTCGAGACTTTGGAACACAATAACTCTCCTTCTAATTGAGGTAGAATGTTTAAACTTGGTGTAGGCTTTCATTAGGTGAATGCCTTGATGGAATTCTATGACGAACATTGTCCGCTTACGGTAAGCAGAAATAAGCAATCTGATTGGTTGATGCTTTGAGGCACGATAACTTTAGTTATAATGAAGTGAGAGCAATGGAACTCTGAATATAGATTCATTATGAAACTCTGAGTATAGATTCATTAGCTTAGGCTAATGAGCGATAATCAATTTGATTGGTCAAGACTTGGCTGCAGTTATATATATTTCTTGTCTTTTTGTGGGTTTCATTTGTTAACATTATCGTAGTACCACTGAACTATAACTATAAATGCATGTGTCTTAAAATCGGTCGCACTCAATATCGTTATTGTCCCCCGCTTATCGAAGAAAGCAGGGGACTATTAAAATGGGTTCGTCCGTCCGCCCGTCCGTCTGTCTGTCTGTCCCTCACACTTTTTGGGACACAATAACTCTCTTTCTAATTGAACATTGTAGCTCAATTAGAAAGGTGTAGGTGTTTATTAGGTCAATGCCTTGATGGAGTTCGAAGATGAGCATTTTCGGCTTAGGGTAAGCAGAGATAAGCAATTTGATTGGTTGATGCTTTGGGACACGATAACTTTAGTTCTAATTAAGTGAGAGTGATGAAACTTGGTGTATAGTTTCATTACATCAATACCTTGACTAAGTTTGATAATGAGCATTTTCTGCTCAGGGTAAATAGAGCGATAAGCAATTTGATTGGTCGAGACTTTGGAACACAATAACTCTCATTCTAATTGAGTTAGAATGTTCACACTTGGCATAGATGTCTATTAGGTGAATGCCTTGATGGAGTTTGAAGATGAGAATTTTCGGCTTAGGGTAAGCAGAGAGATAAGCAATTTGATTGGTTGATATACATACATGAAACACAATAACTTTAGTTCTAATTAAGTGAATGTGATGACACTAGGTGTATAGCTTTATTACAGCAATACCTTGACTGAGTTCGATTATGAATATTTTCTTCTTAGGGTAAGCAGAGCGATAAGCAATTTTATTGGTCGAGACTTTGGAACACAATAACTCTCCTTCTAATTGAGGTAGAATGTTTAAACTTGGTGTTGGCTTTCATTAGGTGAATGCCTTGATGGAGTTCTATGATGAACATTGTACGCTTACAGTAAGCAGAAATAAGCAATCTGATTGGTTGATGCTTTGAGGCACGATAACTTTAGTTATAATGAAGTGAGAGCAATGGAACTCTGAATATAGATTCATTATGAAACTCTGAGTATAGATTCATTAGCTTAGGCTAATGAGCGATAAGCAATTTGAATGGTCAAGACTTTGTAACATAACAACTCTGCTTTTAATTGAGGTAGAATGTTTAGACTTGATGTAAATGTTCATTAGGTGACTGTCTTGACTGAGTTCAATGATTAACCTTTCGAGCTGAAGCTAAGCAGAGCTAATCAATTTCATTGGTCAATGCTTTGGGGCAAGATAATCTTGATTCTATCTGATGAAACTTAGTGTATAGTTTGATTGCTTGATACTTTTGAAAAAAAAAAAAATGTGCGATTAATTGATGTGTGTCATCTATTTATTTTGGGATTTCGGCGGGGGACATCAGCCTCACTGTTGGCTTGTTTATCAATATCACGCCAAACTTTCATTTGATTTTCCGATATATTTTAATCTCTATTGATATCAGAGGCTCTAATCTGTTTTGAAAGCACAATTATAAACAAAAAATCTTGCAATTGATCATAACCTGTTGTAAATAGGAATAGGAAATTTCGGTTGGTATCTCAAATGAAAAAAAACAGCCCAAGCCATTATATTCTTATCAGAAATATGTTCAAACAAACAAGTAAAATAGACAAGACAAAAATACAAGCTATACCATTATTTACTATTACATTATTGATATGCATATGCCTTCATAATTAAACGTTTTAATTAAATTGTAACGTATGAATTATCTGTTTGATTTATTTTTTCTTTAATTGGCAATTGGTATGGGCCGAAGCATTCGCTTCTATACGTATTAGCTCTGCTCCAACAATGACATTTTGTGGAATATGAGGACGATTCAAAAGAAACATAGTCATCAAGTGGAATTTAAGAGTGAGCTAGAAAAACGTGATGACATTGAAATGGAGAGATGCAAGGCTGAAGTTATAGGACTAAGTTATTTTTCTACAGTATATTTCAAAACAAAAAAATTGTGTATTGGAAATATGCGAAAATTGATGCCTTTGGTTGCTCTTCTTGAGTTTGTTAAATTATTAAATGTATTTCCAAGTCACATATTACCACACAAACTGCCATCAGAGCAGGAAGTACGATTCCCTGAACACCAACTTGGATCACCATTGACCTAGATGTTATATAACAACTGCTAATTCCCAGACTTTATTAGGGGTAATAAAATTGATCATCGCCGCAGCTCAACAATTTTAGTAAATGTGTATTATAAACCGGGGTCCTGTTTCACGATTTTATCTTTAGTTAAGATTTCAAGAAACAGGGCCCAGGTACACTTAATTTATCAGAACACAACAATAATTTTCTTGAATGAACCTTGGTTTATTCAAATTCAAAATATATTTGAATTACATCAAAGGTGTATTAGAAATTATTGTGAACGCTGTTAACGCCAAATTAGTGAAACAAAGAAGCCTATTGAATTTCAGCAATTTCCGTTTATTACGTCTAGAGTTATGGCCCTTGTTTCACTTTATTGAACCTTGTGAACACTCTAACTCCAAAAGTTATCATCCGATTTTTCTGCAATTTATATGCATTATTTGAATTAGTTAATGCTCGATTGATGAAAGTTATCATCCGACAGTGGTCTATTGAATTTCAGCAATTTCCGTCAATAATTTGTGAAGCTTGTGAACATTTAAATGACAAAAGTGATCATGTGATCTGTATGAAATTTATATGCATTGTTTAAATTAATAAAACGAAAAAGCCTGTCAAATTTCAACAATTTCTGTAGATTACTTCCAGAGTTGAGACCCATGTTTCAGTTTGTAGAACCTTGTAAACCCTCAAACGACAAAATTTATAATCTGATCTGTATGGAACTGTCTTGTTAAGGCCCCCAATTACCTACAAAGGAATAAATATGTGACAACCCTTGAAGACCGCTCGGACGATTTAGCTGCTGTGGGCGTTTGTTTTGTTGCCTGGCAACCTATCTTTGCTATGTAATGTTGAGTTTAATGTTTAATTTTACAGTACCTACATCAGATGATATATCTATGTTACCTGAATCACCAGAGTAAGTATTTGAATAATAATTAGTTTGTAGTTTGAAAACAAATCTCTACAGATATCAAGATAAGAACTATTGTGAAATCTCCTTACAGTAGAGCAGATAATATAAAGCCCTGCTAATGTCGCCCTTGCGATCAGATGCGATTGTGTGCAACTGGATATACTGATCGCTTATTTCGCCAGCTCATATTTAGTTGCAAGTACATGCAACGACTTGCAACAGGAAACTTAGAGGGTCTATGTCGACTGTTATTATATGCAACTGACAGTTTCCACCAAACTATGAAATAAAATGGAATGAAATGAAGTTTACACGTGTAAGCTGATACCGTTGACTAATGAAGCTAGGCCTTTTAGTAATGACAATTTTTGTCATTAAATCATATGAGTGGTCAGTATTCTAAAATAATGTTTAGTATGTATAGAAAGTGGTTAGAAATTATACAATTGTCATTAATTAGCAAGTGTGTAACTAGCTGTAAAAAAAATGTGACTATTTATAACACTCATCACTATTGAATACACAAACCTAACCAATAGTGGTGTATATCATTCAATAGTCACAGTTTTAACACCTTAGAGACAAAACACCTACTTAATGACTACTGCCTGATTACTAACAATTTTAACTAACTAATACACATTATATATATAAACTGATGACTTTGATCTATTAGTGTCGTATATTTTCATTTGTAACAGTTATTTGTTGCTTAATCAACGATATCAACGTTACAGTGTTAACATCCTACTGTTCTACTCCGACTGGGCTAATGAAGACAGGTATACCATACAGTGTGCTATGAGGGAAATTTTTGAAATAAAATTAAAAATGTTTGGCTATTACGACTATATCTTTTGACCATTATGACCAAATTGTTTGGCCGTTATAACCAAACTGTTTAACTGTTATGACCAAAGTAATGCTCTTTGACAAAGTTATCAGCCATTGTTATGTGCACAAATGACGTAATGGAGGAAAACTCAAAATACAATGTTAGCCATTGTTATGTACACAAATGATGTACAGGAGGAAAACTACGAAATACACCAAATTCCTAAATATTCACTCAAAATTAGCTGCATTAAGTTGCAAAACCGCTTATGTCACAGATCAAAGAAAGTAGAATATTTCCAACTAACTGTAACTGTCTTTTATACACCCACATTTTCATGTGGACATATACTGTCCTAGCCCATGTCCGTCAATTGTCCGTTCACATTTTGTTTGTTGACTCTCTACAGGTCACAATCTATATCAGATTTTGACAAAACTTGAAATAGGTTTGTATCCCAAAGATCTTAGTTCCTTTCGATATTGGCATTTATCAGACTTTATCTTCATGGATTATGACCCCTTATATGATTGTACGAAAATCACGTTTTTAGCTTGTGTACACAATTTTTGAAATATTTTGGCAATAATTTGAAAGGAAATAAGTTGAGAACTACTGACACTAATAAAGATATTAAGGACAAAAGTTCATACAGATGTCAACCTGGTTTAAGAAAATTATGCAAATCATGTGTACAAATCAAGAGACATGAAATCATTCAAGATTAGAGACTCTGCCAGTACTTATGTTGTTTATTGTTTAACCTTTTAAACCTGTAGAATGCAATATGTAGGCCAAACCATTGTTCCGTCTAACACTCGACTTATAGACGGAGAGAAATAAAAAACTACCGAGAGCAAATTGCAAAAGAATTTCTTTCACTGGAATCTAGTAAAGGGGTGTCTAAAGGACTCCCAACTCAAAATTGTCCACTGAAACCCTGTAGCGTTTTTCATAATTAGCATAAATCTAAGATGGCCGCCAATTGGACTTTCTGGCCTCCATATCTTGGAAACGGCTCGTTTTAGAGCAATAAATGTATTATCATTTGATACAAAAGTGATGTCAACGAATCGGAAAATAAAATTATCACAACACCAGCAGGTCATGGTTTGACGCCCTGACATCACAATGACGTCATGACGTCACACTGCCATTATTTTGACGTCAAAACACTGCTTTGATACTGAATAAGTGGGTTTGACGTGAGTTCTGATGTCTTAGAGAACTCAGAATAAGCGGGCTGTGACCTAGTTTGTTTTTGTGACACTGACTGATTGGACTGGAATCAAAACTGGTGATTGACTGGGAATCCAGTCTGGGTTTCCCCAGATATTTGAAACTTTCTTTTGCTAATTTTATGAAAGGATCGTATTTTGCCATGGATACGTGCGTAATTTGCGGCAATAACCTAAATAATGGTGGGGATGTTGTCAAGTTCTTGCCATTGGCTTGGAATCCAGTCTGTGTTTTCCCCAGATATTTGAAACTTTTTTTTGCTAATTTTGTGAAAAGAGTTTTATTTCGCCATGGATACGTGCATAATTGTTAAGCCAGTGATTCGCAACCAATGTGACGCGGCACACAGGTATGCTGCGAGATCTTCATAAGTGAGCCGCGAAATTTTGAACGACACACTAAGAAAATGGGAAAAACCATGTGATCCCAAACGAGTATTCACTGGTAAGTTCATAGCTGTGGGGTTTTTATTTAATTTGAGTCATTCTATTTGTCTATGACTAGTCTGTGTCTACGGTTGTATGTCGTCTGTGACTTGGCATGTTTTAATTTGCAAAATTCAAATATTTTTCATATATATTTAGCCAGGTGTGCCTCTATTTTTTCATGTGTTACAAGGTGTGCCGTTGGCTAAAAAAGGTTGAGAACCATTGTGTTAAGCTTTGGTGATCGGCTTGCAATCCAGTCTGGGTTTTCCCCAGATATTTAAAACACTATTTTTTGCTAATTTTGTGAAAAGAGCCGTATTTCGCCATGGATATGTGCATAATTTGCGACAATAACATAAATAATGGTGGGGATGTTGTCAAGCTCACCACCAAGGGATCGAATGTAATCAATCAGGCTGCTCAGCTTCACCGGATGGACATTTCTGTCACCCCTCCTAATGCTCATGTGCATGTACAGTGCAGATAGAATTACACTCACCAGAATGAATTCCAGTCCAGTCAGTGTTACAAAAACAAACTAGTTCTCAGCCCGCTTATTCTTAGTTCTCTAAGACACCAGAACTCACGTCAAACCCGCTTATTCGGTATCAAAGCAGTTTGTCCGGTCGTCAAACCTCAATATTTCGAGTGAATCTGGAAATTGTCTATAAAGTTTTTTTAGGATTGATTTTAGTAGCCTATGGTGTCCTCTTTCAGAATCTGCCGGGTGAACTCCGGTCACCCTTGAGCGTTTTGCGAAATTCAAGATGGCGTCCAAGACGACCGCCATTTCAAATAATCCCCCATAACTCCCATAGTATTTATTCTAGGACGATAATTTTTGGATCTAAACGTATGTTACTCGGGTCAAGGAATACACTGAAATCAATCATTATGTTGTGGGGTGATTAGATGATAGTAAAATCTAAAATGTCAGACAATATGGGCCATTATTTCACCAAACCAAACTATACTATTCAAAAAAAGTAGGGGATATTTGATTTTGGGGGCATAATACTAAAATATGCAAATGACTACGAAAAAAGTCACTATAGAACCTAACAGAAGAAACATTTCCAGTTACATGTGACGCCCAAACGCACCAATAGCTACCGCATGGAATGCAGGTGATGCTTGGGATCATCATGGGGGTCCAACCCAAGATTTGCACGACTCTGACTTTGAATGTTACAGTCATTGTGGCATTGAATTCCAGGGTGGAAACATCAGTTTAATTGTTTTAGTGACCAGAAAACAAATTTTGATATGCGTCGGCTTACCCAAAATGAAAGGTTACGTGCCCTTGGCATGCTACAGATCGGCACAACACAGGCGGTTGTGGCGCGGACGATGAATGTTTCTCAGTCTGTCATAAGCAGTCTATGGTCCAGATACCGTGATACACAATCTGTACAGGACAGACCACGCTCAGGTCGACCAAGGGCGACAACTCAAGCCCAGGATCGATTTATCCGTACCTTGGCCTTGAGAAATCGTGTCATCACAGCAAATCAGATCAGCGCTCGTCTTCAAACAGACACTGGTGTGAGAGTGAGTGGCCAGACGATTCGGAATCGACTGCATAGGGGTCACCTTCGCGCCCGACGTCCTCGCGTGATCCCTTGTTTGAGAGATCATCACATTCAGGCAAGACGTCGTTGGTGTAGGGATCGTCAACACTGGGATAATCGACGCTGGAGCAATGTGATGTTTTCAGATGAGTCAAGGTTCACTGTTGATTTTTTGGACAGACGTAGGAGGGTGTGGCGTCGTCGAAACGAGCGCTTCCAAGACATTAACGTCATCAGACATGATCGATTTGGGGGTGGTTCTGTTATGGTGTGGGGAGGCATCACTGTTGCTGGAAGAACGGCTTTACATGTTGTTGCAGGGCGTGTTACAGGCCAGTACTACCGGGACAACATCTTGGCAGTCCATGTTGTGCCGTTCGCACGACGTCATGGCCGCCGTTTCATCTTCCAGGATGACAACGCAAGATGTCACAGGGCCAGGATCGTTACAGGTTACCTCCAACAACAGAACATCACCACATTACCTTGGCCAGCACTGAGTCCCGACCTCTCCCCCATCGAGCATGTCTGGGACATGCTTGGACAGAGGTTACGTCAACGTCAACAACGTCCTGCCAATGTCCAAGAACTTGCTGCTGCATTACAACAGGAATGGGACAATCTGGACCAAAATGACCTTAGACGTCTCATTAGGAGTATGCCACGTCGGATCAATGCTTGTTTGGCAAACAGAGGAGGATTTACCCGTTACTGACTTGGTTGTGATGCTGTGGTAACTTTGCTGTTTGACCCCGGGTATCATTTTACCCTTATAATGGTCAGTCTGTGCCTTACTTAGTCTAACGATCATTTGGAATAAATCGATGAATGTGAACTTCATTTCATTTTGTCATTTGTTTCTTCGTCAGTTTCATTAGGTGACTTTAATAACACTTAAAAATCAAATATCCCCTACTTTTTTTGAATAGT